ACTTGGGAAATGCATGCTAGCACTGATACTGATATCGAGACTGATACTGGTACGAACGAGCCAGACCGAAACCTAGTACAAGTAAGGCTGCGTTTGCGAATACTATTTCTACGACTGCGAATACGAATGCTACTACAAACGCTAACAGAATCACCGACAAGAATGCCAGCACGAAAACGCATACGAATACGAGCACGAATACTCCGACTCGTAGTCAAAGTAAAACTAGTATTTGAACGAATCCCACTTTCAAGGCAACGATTCATATCAACACCTTTGAAATACGAATACAGCAAGCGGGCACTGCAACTAAGACTAACACGAATACGAAAACTAATGCTATAGCTGGTATTACATAGGGCTGAAATTACGACTATGCTGATACGAATCCGCCACCGTGCCTGCATGGAGTGGGCGTGTTAGAATGCTCGTCTGGTGCCTGGGAGGTTCTATAAAGTTTAAGGGGGGGGTGCTTCCTCGCAAGCGTGCCCAAAAAAACGCCCCTTCTGAAACTGCTTTCTGGAAATATGCTCGGCCTCCAGACGGCCAAGATGGCCTACAAGGCGGCATCCACGACAGCCAAGACGACAACAACACGGCTCAAGATGGCCCAAGACAGCTCAAGAGTCTCTCAAGAGAGCCTCAAAACGGCTCAAGATAGCCCAAGAGGGCCTCACGACGGCCCAAGAGGCCCCCAAACGGCCCGAGCGAGCTCCAAGAGGCCTTCCTGGAGAGCCCAAGAGGGGGGAGGGAGGGGGGGCAAAACCATTGATATTCCTTGAGTGTTTGAAGGATTTGAAGGTCTCGCCTTTTCGGATTTCCGACCACAGAAGACGGCCCAAGAGGCTCCCAAGAGGCCTCCAAAATAGCTCCAAGACAGCCCAAGAGATCCCCAAGAGAACCCAAAGATCGCCCAAGGGACCCCCAGAGAGGGCCCCAAGACGGCCTTGAAGCGCTTCAAGAGAGCAACAAGACGGCCCAGGGAGGCCTCGTAGGCTGCTTTGGGCGGTCGGAACCCCAAAGACGCCAGAACCTCAAGTCCTTTAAAAACCTAAAGAAAATCAATGGTGTTGGCCTCCTTGGGCTCTCCTGGAGGGCATCTTGGAGACCTCTTGGGCCGTCTTAGGGACCTCTTGATCTGTTTTGAGGCCTTCTCGGGAGCCTCATAACCTCCAGGACGGCTCCCACCTGTTCGGGTTGTCCGACCGCCCAAGGCGGCCCGAAGCGCATCCAGGAGGCCTCCGAGATGGCTCCGAGACAGCCCAAGGATGATCTCCCGGGACCGTCTTGGGCTGTCTTGAGCGTCCCTTGAGACGCCTGGGGGTTCTCTCGAGCCGTCGGAGACTTCCAGAAGCCGTTCGGGGGCGGCTCGGGGCCCTCCTGAGCCTTCTTGACGGCGGTCCGAGCGCTCCGGGGACCGATCTGGGATCCCCCAGGAGCGCACTGGGCCCCTGGGCCCAGGACGGGGTCCCCGTTACATTATATGTATACAGACCTATATACATGCATGCATGCATACACAAATGCATGCAAACATCCACGTGTGTGTGTGTGTGCACGCATCGGTACTTGCTACAGAAGCAAAGACATACATCTGGGAAAGAGAGAGAGAGAGAGAAGAAAGCAAAACAAAAAAATGGTGCGTGAGGGAGACAAGGAGAGAGATGTCGGGAGGGCGGGGGGGAAGGACGGGAGGATGGGGGGAGAGTGGGAGGGGTCAGAGGGGGAGGCAAGCTGAAGCACCTTCTCTTTGTCGTCCGTGGCCGGCCGCTCCTCCACGCCCTGGCAGACACGCGAAGGATATGGCAGAGACCACCAGCATCACCATCATCATCACTGTATCCCTCGTGTGTGATCCTAACCACAGAGGTGGAATCATCATATTGGTAGTATCCCTGCTCGACGTTTCACCCCTGCCCGTAACCCACTGGCACGCTGGAGGAAAAAGTGCGTGTTTGCGCTCACCGCTTGTGCTCTGGCTGTCACCACCCCCATCACCGACACCAGCAATTAATGGAATCATCCTTACCATCGTCGTCCTCCCATCGTCGTCGTAATCGTCACCATCACTGACATTACATGCACATCGCCACCATTGCCATTACTGTCGCAGTCATCGCTGTCATCATCATTGTCAGAGTCGTCATCACTATCACGACTGCTATAACCATTGCCATCAGCGCCAACGCGATCCTCGCACCCCTTGGACATCCGAACAGCAAGAACAAACCCATCGCGAAACCACTCTCTACACACATACGAAGCCTCGACGGCCTCGACGGCGGGGCCCGTTGTCTGAAACGCACGGGCTGTCAATCGTAGGAGGAGGAGCAGGAGGAGGAGAAGAGAGGGAATGACGAGAGAGGACGAGAAGGGGAAGACGGGGAGGATGAGACGAGAGAGGAGCTGGAGGAGCGATCAGGCGGGCGCCCCGCGAAATGGCCTTGAGGAAGCTGGCCGCGGCGCGGATGTAGAAGCCGGGGGGCTTCTTCGTGGTCACCTCTCGGCGGCCCGCGCGCCACCCGCCCCCCTGCCCGAGCGAGGGAAAAAAGCCCTGGCCAGACCAGGCTGAGGGGGGCCAGTGCCACCCGATTCGGCGACGGGGCACGCCGATTCTGCACGGGAACGGGACCCGTCGCTGATCCGAACGACCTGGATCCATGTCTGCGCTTCCTCGAGATCTGAGCGCGAGCGGGCCCGCGAGAAGCCCCAGGGCTGCGCCCGCTCCATCATCGCGACGATCACGGGGCTCGGAAAGGAGAGGGGTCGAGAAGGGGGGGGTGGCAGGGGCAGACGAGCGCCTCGCTCGAGAGGCCCCCTCCGCAGCCCGAGCGCGAGCGGGCCCGTGAGGTGCCCCCCAGAACGGCGCCCCTCCGAGGGACATCTGTCACCCGACCAAGGATTTGGGGCCCGCCAGGGCCGCGACGGGACGCCACTCCACACCGAATCTCGCCTCTTCGGCCTGGGCTTCACGAGCCCGAATTCTCTCCCGAAGCGCCGCCATCCAAAGCGCGACGGACTGGAGACGGGAGAGGGCCGAGGGAGCAGCAGTATGTGACAGGGTCTGGCTCTCGTGTTTGGGAATTGTCTCCGACATCCTAACACGGTCAGACGAGTCTGCGATCTGTCTGACTCTGTCTCTTAGCCCCACTCACACTTTCGAAGCATCCCTATGCCTTTCCGTGATGGAGTGTCGCATGGTTTGGCTAGATTCCTGGCGCAGCGCTGGGCCCAGCATCCCCATCGAACACAAAAACTGCAACTGGGTCTCCGTGCTTGCATGCGTGCAATGCATGAAGAGAATGGAGGAGGAGGATCATGATGGTGGTAACGATGACGATGATGGTGATGACGACAACGATGCTGATGATGATGCGGAGGAGGAGGAGGAAGAGGAGGACGAGGACGCGGACAAGGAGGACGACGACGACGAGGATACCGAGGGTTGGATGGCCTGGCCGTGGCCTCCTCCTCCTCCTCGTCCTCCTCCTCCTCATCCTCATCCTCATCTTCATCATCATCCGTCTCGTGTTCCCTCATCTCCTAATCCTCCTCGTCATCAGCATCAACATCGCTATCATTCGACATCGTCGTCGCCATCATCATCATTATGACCGTCACCATCACCATGACCACCATATCATCATCATCACCATTATCATCAGCAGCACCATGAGTCTTCGCCGACGGCATAATCATCAGCAGCATAAGCATCGTCAGCATCATCAGAAGAATCAGCATCATGAGCAGCAGCAGCAGCAACATCTTCAGTATCATCATCAACATCATCATCATCAGCATCATCAGCATCGCCCTCATCATCGCCATCGTCATCATCACTACCCTCAGAATCAGCATCTTCATCAGAATCAGCGTCAGCATCTTCATCAGCATCAGCTTCAGCATCAGCATCAGCACTAGCTTCAGCATCAGCATCATCACTACCACCACCATCACCACCACCACCGTCACCATCACAATCAGAAGCAGCATCAGTCTCATCGTCAGCATCATCAGCATCATTATCATCAGCATCATCAGCATCACTAGCATCATCCGCAGCAGCATCATCAGCATCATCGTATTCTGCTTCATAATCATCACCGTCAGCATCATCTTCATCAGCATCAACAGCAGCATCAGAATCATCATCAGCATCAGCATCATCAGCAGCATCACCAGCATCATCGTAATCATCACCACCATCATCATCATCAGCAGCAGCATTGGCATCATCATCAGCAGCGGCATCAGCAGTATTATCATCGTCTCCTCCGTCTTCTTCATCAGCATCATCAGCATCATCATCATCATCATCATAATCACCACCATCATCATCAGCATCATCAGCATCATCATCATCATCATCAGCAGCAGCATCAGCATCAGCATCATCATCATCATCATCATCATCATCAGCATCATCATCATCATCATCATCCTCATCAGCATCATCAGCATAATCATCATCATCATCACCATCATCATCATCATCAGCATCATCATCATCATCAGCATCTGCATCACTATCATCATCATCATCATCATCATCATCAGCGTCAGCGTCAGCATCATCATCAGCAGCATCACCAGGATCATCATCAGCATCATCATTACCAACATCAACAGCAGCATCGTTATCGTCGTCATCATCATCATCAGCACCAGCAGCAGCATCAGCATCATCCTCACAGTCATCACCATCATCATCATCATCATCATCATCATCATCATCCTCATCAGCATCATCATTATTATTATCATCATCATCATCACCATCATCATCATCATCGTCATCGTCCATCATCATCAACATCATCATCATCATCATCATCATCATCATCATCATCATCATCATCATCGTTATTGTCATCGTCATCGTTATCGTCATCGCCATCCTCATCAGAATCATCGTCATCATCCGCCACCGTGCCTGCACGATGACGGCGCGTTAGAATGCCAGGTGGTGCCCTATAAGGTTTTTGCATTCTAACAAGGGC